TACACGAGCGTACCTAGTAGCCAACCAGACTCTACGGAATTACAACGCCAAGGGCTAAACATACGCAATAGCCCCAGTACAGCGCTCCCCCAGGCGCCGTTTACAACGCGCCAGTCGTCATTGGTAAAAACTGAAACGCTGCAGCTGAGGCGATTTCGGGTCCAGCATGTGGCCTCCAAGCTGAATTTCCTCTTTCGGTAGGCGTCGCCGATGGCGGGGCGGCCGGATCGACGCGCCCGCCCGCTCCCCATCTTCCCCTCATCTCCTCCACACGACAACTCTCCATTAATGCAATATCAACGCGGGGCGAGTGCGGGCGCGCCGAGTAATGGCCGAAAGAACCCCAAAGACTTACACGCGTATGCCCCATGATTCCCCAGATAACCCGCAAAATCTTGTCAGACGTGAAATTCTTTACGGCCTAAGCATGGGGTGGGAGATAAGATGACATTTTTGCGGGGATAGACTTTGCGTGATGTCTAATATACGGTGGCTCGAGGTACTGCGAGGGACTTGACTAGCGGAGCATGTTGCTACACTTGGTTCTCGGACCAGCCGGTCTCCCTCCAGAGTCATCTTAGCAAGATGAAGAGGAATGATCCATCGATCGAATATCGTGCTTCTCGGACTTCCCGCAGCTTGCCTCTATCGCAGGGTCAGACCTTACGAGACGCTGATTTGTCGAATCAGTGAAGGAACCCAGCGTTATTACACATAATCATCGAAGTGGTCACGGTCTTTCTTGTCCCCATCTTACGCACTTTCGGCTGTAGACGATCAAGGGATTGAATGGCACCGAAGTCGACGATATCCAGACCCTTGAGGTCATCGAGGCCGGAAAGGGTTTCTTGCGCGGAAAGCCATTGAGAAGCAGCAGAAGGTGAGCGAGAAATCACAGACGCCTAGGTCTCCGTTGGCGTTACCTTTATGATTGCGAGAGGCTAACCAATGTTGCTTGTGCAGTTCACCAGAGGTATCAAAGCCAAAAACGCTCCTGCCACGGTTCAAAGCAATGGCCAATTTTTTCTATAGCGATGCGGCAACCAACATATTGGACGCGAAGGCCACCGGCAGCCCCTAACCGAACAGTGTTCAGGTAAACAAGCTGGGCATTCGAAATTTTTCGCACCCGGAGAGCTGACAGCGGTTCGAGGATGCGTCTACGCTTGAGGCAGATAAGCTTGCTCATGGAGCAGAGCGCCAAGGTCATGCAAATGCAAAGCTCTGCAAGACGCGCTGTTGACAGGACAGGCTCGGCTGTTGACCAAGTCGGGACAACGGGCTTGACCGTATTGTTTCGATGCTATGATGCAGGAGGGAACTGGATTATCTGCATTGCAATCAGCTTCATCACCAATCAAGCGCAAAGACGCAGGAGTGTTGGGTCTGGGTGTAGGAAACACGGCGCTGTAACGCATCCGTGCCGCAATCGGCCCCACCCTCCCGGTCCCGGCCGAGAATGGATCCAACCCTCCCGAGAGTTGGTACCTGCGTCTGGCCGCCGATCCGGCAACAGCCGGGTGCCGCCTCCCGCTTGTATCGGCGCAAGAGCAGTGTGCCGAGGACACGCAAAGAGCAGACCCGGCACCGATTTGCCGCTCCACACGGCATGAACGGCAGACTCCACCAAACCCCCAAAGATTTTGCCGACCGGGGCCAAAGCAGGATTGGATGCCACGCAACCGCAAAAGCAAGTTTTTTCGGGGTTACCCGACCAACCCCATCATTAGCGATGCAAAAAGCCTTTCTCGCCCTGCATGCATGCACACGCGCACGCGGTGCTCTGTACTCGCATCCCGTCGGTAGTCAGCCGGCTTTCGCCCACTGCACTGCCCGACACTGCCGCTGCAAGCCGGTCAGGCAGCTGAATCCCAAGCCCAGGGAGAGACAAAGTCTCAGATGACAGGCCGTCCGTTCTTTTTCTCAGGGGAACAGAATCCGCTGATTGGCGGTGGTGCCTCTTGGCCTCCATACTCGACACGAGCCGGCGCAGTCCACGGGGACCGAACTGGCTGATCAAATGGACGACAAAGACCTGGCAAGCGGTGGGATAGACATGGCCCTTCTTCTATTCGTACCAAGAGACTAGAAAAGCCGGTGGTGGCACGGCGACGTACCCCGGTTGCCGGGCAGCCGTGGCTGTGTCAACTCACCACCACCCAAAAAACGACGCGGTGGCACCGTTGGCAGGCCTCTCTAGACGCGGCGTCCCCACAACACGCCATTACGGGGGATCGACTGACACGCTAAAGCCCCAAATCCCCCAATCACCAACACCGATATTAATAGGCAAAGGAGGGAAAACTGGGGCTGCGGAACGGCTTGAGGCTTGAAGGCTTGAAGGCTTGCCGGGGAAGCGGCTTTCACACGTCAGACTGGAGCCAGAAGGATCCAACAGGAGCTCGACGGGCTCTTCGTGTTGATCAGAATAATGGGGTACTAAATAAGGGGAGGTGCTATGCGAACGGACTCGCCTGACCAGGGTGAAACTTGGTGAAAAGAAACGAAGAAGAAAAGAAGAGCCCTTTCAATCAAAACCTCCGTCACCCCCTCTGTGTCGACCGCACTGATCTCCTCCTCTCATCACTCACTCACTCATAATCCACAGTCGCTGTCCAGCTTCACGCGTCCCCTCAACACCACAAACTCACCATCACGAGTCTAATCATCTAACCAAACCAAACCAAACCGCCCACAATGTCCACCTCCGCCGTCGCAACCGCCACCTCCTCCGGCGCCGCCGCGACCTCCACCGCGATCTGCTCCTCCAACCTCTACGACACCCCCATCCAGGACTCCAACTGCGCGATGCCCTACGGCGGCAACCACACCGACATCATGAAGGCCTGCTGCAAGGACGCCGACGTCGTCAGCTACTACGACAACTGCGGCATCTACTGCCTCGCCATCGACCAGACCGTCGCCGAACTCACAAAGTGCCTCTTCGACAACGGCGCCCCCGACACCGGCGTCTTCTGCCGCGGCAACGTGAGCTCCTCCGCCACTGCCACCGGCAACTCGAACCCCCCGGCCTCCGCCGGCGCCAGCATCGTCGCCAGCGGCGGCGGCAGCAGGGCGAGCGCGAGTGGCAGCGGCTCCAGCAGCAGCTCCAGTAGCTCTGCGAACGCTGCGCCCGGGGCGTATGCACCCGCTGGCGTGAGCACGCTTGGCATGACCATTGGCGCCCTGCTGCTCTCTGCTGCTACCTTCGGCGCTCTGCAAATTTGAGATTTTATGCGATGGGATTGTTTTGAGGTGCCTGGGGTTATGACCCACAGGCGTGGGACAAAAATGCATGCATGGTCATGCACACACGGCCGATTTAATGATTCAATCACGACGCTCCTTTCATCACCACAATATTTGTGAGGGTCCTTCTTCCCTTCTAACTTTTTCTTCGCAGTTTGCCGCCTGAAGGCGCCCCTTTTTGACTGCCGTATGACTCTCACGGGAAATCATTCGATTACAGCTTATTAAATTTCCCGTTGGAGTTATACTGTCGTCAAAAAGGTACACCTCTAAACGGCAAACTGCGAAGGAAAAGTTAGAAGGGAAGAAGAATTCATCACCATGTCGGTCGGATACGGATAATATCTGGAAAATGGGACTCTGGCAGCAGAAAAAGCATTGCGATATCCATTCTGTGTTAGGCGCACTGCGACTAGATAATTCAATTACAAAGAAGCATTCAGTGCCAAGTCAGGCTACCTGCGAGTACTGCTTTGCATTTCACATTGTACTGACGCCCCCCTGACCCTCATGCAAATCCAGTCGGGAAACTTTGGGCGCCCAAGAGACGTATGGATACTCGCGGCCCAGTGATGATCAATTCTCTACGAGACTCGGCAGCCTTTCGCAGGTCGCATTTTTCATCCACTAACATCGTTCTCGGATGAGGGTCTTGTTGTAATCATTGACATCCTCCAACTGCATCAAAGCATGATCGATAAGGAATGTCTTTAGAAGTCTTCAACTCCTCATGTGGTGGTGCAAGCCATCAATCTGCGGGTCGACATAGGGATTGTTTCGTCTAGTTTTTGCAGGGAGTCAGCAGTCACGAGTTCCATTGGCATTGGGGCGTGTTACCAATAATTAGCGCTGATGACGGCGTGCTTGATGATACCATTCAATGTCGCTCACCGCCGATTGTTCAGAGTACTTAAGTCGGGTTGGCGGTACAGCATGAAAGTAAGTGATTAGCTTCCCGATCTGTTGGTCCCTTGAATAGCAAAAGATGGTTCCAATTGTCTTCAAGAAATCAAGGTGCCTCGAATCTGATTGTGATGATGGAAAATAAAGTCAACTGATTTGGCAATCTTCCTTGAGACATATTCAACTCTCATGCAGAATGACTCCTACGTCAACGCCTTCTGCGGCATCCAATTACCCTGAACAACAACAAGCGTAACGTTGGAAATCGGAAATAATCGTACCCTGCACGGCAAATGCTCCAGCCATACTCGAAGGGTAAACCTCCGCGACTCAATGTTACAGGATGGAGTTCAACAACATGAAGGCCTGGAGAGAGAAGCTTCGCGGAATGGAGAAGAACAGTCAAAGTTCGGAACTGACGTCTGTAACTGTGTACCGCATCCCCGACTCTGTCGGCATAATGGGTGGCATCGAACCCAAAGTTAATGAGCGTCATGTCATTGAAATGAATGTATATTGCCCGGTCAGATATATAATATATCAAATAGCGAAGGTTGTTTACCACGAAAATGTGTAATTGAAGAGTTTTCAAGATGTATCACTGCCCAAATCTCCAATAATTTCAGGAATCTCGGCAGCTACATCGATTCTCTTTATAAATGAGTGTGTGAACAAGAAATCCTAGCGCGAGTCACACCCTTGCATCTCAGTCCAGGCCTCTCGCTGTCGTGGTGACATCCCCAACTCTCCATCAGCCTAACCGACGAGGTGTGAACTGCTTGCTGGCGCAGCAGACCGCATCAAATGGTTATATCGATACTTGACAAAGACCGGTAACGCAAGCCGAATCAACACGAGTCTTGTCGAAGAACGACGTTCCAGTCGGTGGGGTGGAAAGCTTGACCACTGAGGGGATCTCCCCTGCACACCTCAAGCACACGCGACGCACCGTCGGCGATGGAGGAGTACGAAGAAAGAGTCTTCTGGCTTCGGGCCTGTTCGTTTCAAAGCGTCAGTAACTATTTAGACCATGTTGGACTTGTTGGACTCAATGCTTACGTCATTACACCACCAGATTGCAGCTCTCCAGGAGCAACTGACGCGGCCGCAGTTTCCGGGACCAGCACCATTCGAGGGCCGTCCTCCGATGCCCCGGAGATAGCCAATTCCGGCGAAGAATCTGTCACGTTCAGCCGCGCCAAAGTTGCCGCAGAACACTTGAGTGCCTGAGAAGTCGGTTCGCTTTTGCAAGGCTGCGGACTGCTCAATGGTTGAGTTGAGAAATTCCTCGTAGTCGGGGTTGATCTCATGAAGCTTGTCGACGACTTCTTCGACAGTGCCGTTCAGACGGATGGTCGGGCCATCCGGGGTAGCCTGGACCTCCCATTCTGGGACGTAGACTTGATATCCCGGGATAGGGGCTTCGAGGACTGCTGCCTAGACATTTCGTGGTCAGCCTAACTTCCGAAGCGTTTGAATAGATGATACTCACCTCAACTGCCAGAAAGGCAGGCAATAACGCAGTTAGATGGAAGGCGCGCATATTGAAGACTTTTACGAAGAAGAATGAAGCAGATAGATCAGGACTGAGTGAAACCGAACCGATTGTCTTGCTGGTAGAACAGAGAAGTCAACTTCCAGGGAAGATGGCCCCTTATTTATAGTTAATTACAGGCTGACCATACGAGCACAGAACCTGCCTGTATCTTCGTTGTTCAGCCTGGCAATATCTTTGCCCAAGAAGCCAAGGTCGCTTCGGCTGCGAACTGCCTCCATCATCCATGTCCTGCGTCAAGGCCTTGTGCCGCAATTCCGCACTCGGGCGTCGGCTCGGGCCCACCTGAACTGCAAAGATGAATGGACAGTTTCGCGGGCAACGATGAGGCCACGACGAAGTGTGGATTGGCGGCGGGGACATTTGCCATCAATGGAAAGGCGTATTGGCTTGACAAGAGTTCTGAATACTGACTAAATTGGCGGCTTAATCCAAAGTATGTTTGTTTTGGTTGTCTATCACACTAGCTGGGCGAACGAGCCAATGTCCATGGATGGCGCAGTGATCACACTCTTGCATGAAATTTCAGAAGAAGACGTAAGCGTTCAGTTATGTGTAAATATGTTGAGGGAGCTTCATAACCCACCCTGTGAGAGAATGCACAGTAGGAAAAATACAACAAGAGCATATCGGGGAGCGTTTCGTGCATTGAAAGGATCTCAAAGCAAGGTAGTTATGCGTATATCCATAGTGGACGACAAAAAAAAGATCGATCAATACCTTTAATAAATTCTCGCTCGCTAACGGGGCAGTGACATGTTCCGAAAAAGCTTTACTTCAAATTGTAGCGAAACAACATAGTTCTCATTGATGATTGTACCATAAACATTTTGTATAAATATTTATCGGAAGTGACTAACATAGGGCATTATCTCCATACTAAACTCCGTATTTTGTTGTCCTCTACATTGAGACCTGGGGCTCTGCACACCAATCACAGCGGGGGTGCGTTCGGGTCCTCCATGCATTGATCGATCCGCATAATCTGCTTGCCGGTGGCCTTGGCCTGCCTGATGAACTCAGGGAAGTACTCAACCGTTGAGTTGTATGAAAAGTGCATGACCACCAAGTTGCCCCCCTTCGCAACATCAGAGTTGAACGCGTCCACCTGCTTCTCAGGCGTGCTCGTCTCGGCCCACAGCCAATCCTGGACATCGACGCTCCAGTTAATGAGATAGGCGGGCTTCTCTGATCCCGAGGCAGCTGCCCAGCGCTGACGCATACGGGCGCCTTCAACACCGTAAGGTGGACGGAAGTAGTTGGATTTCTCGCCGAAAATGTTGTTCATTACTCTGTAGTCCTCGTTGTACTCCCAGTCGATAGCAGCGTTGCTCGGAAGCTCTTCCATCCTCGGGTGCGTGTAGGAATGAAGCGCAATTTGGTGGCCCTCGCTTTTCAGCTGTTTGTAGAGGGTGGCCATACCCGTGGAGTCGTCTTCGAGCACCGCGCCGAGCGCGAAAAAGGTCACCTTGATGCCTGCGTCGCGAATAATTTGCGCCAGCCTGGCAGAGTACCTTGGATTTCCGTCATCGATGCCGAATGCAAACGAATTGGGCCTTGTGCAGGAAAAGACGAGCGTTCCCGACGGAAGCTTTGAAGGTATGCTCACGCCCGAGGGGATCGAAGGGACAATTTCGACCTTGGTCAGGACAAAGGACTCGGTGCTGTACACGCTTCTGATGGCAACGCTGCTGACACGCTGCAGGTTGATGTTGAAGTGCGAAATGGGAATGTAAATATCGTTGCCATTCGCGTACCGGCCGGCTTCGAGGCTGTCCCGGGTCTCGGGGTATGGTGCCACACCTGAGTTGCATTGAGAGTTGTGCTGCTGCAGCGCGACTGATAATTTCGTGTGACCAGAGTACGCAATGTGCAAGTAAGAGCCGCTGTAGCCGCGCAAGTCACGACAACCGTTGCTAAGTAGTGATGTGAAGGCGTAATCGGAGGCTGGGGCACTGATGGTGAGGCGGCTGGAGCCCCAGGAGAGGTTCATGTCTTCGCCTCCGTGCCAGAAACCAAGTGAGTTCGTGCTAGAGCTGCTGAAGGTGTCGATGACAAGCGCAGAGGCGGTTGCGGCTGGTGCCGGGACAGTTGATGTTGGTCCTGCTGGGCTGGTGGCCGTGGGAACGACCCAACCACTCGGGGTACTTCCGCAATAGAGTGATAGCGGGCCCAAGGTGATCGCGTTGCTGGGCGCCGAGAGAACGATTGATCTCAGCTTGCTCAAGTTGAGTCCGCTGAATTTAGAGAAGGGGAAACTGTAAAGCTTCTCGGTTCCATCGAAGGTCCAACCCAATTGGGCTGTCGTCTGAATAGATGTTGCCGTAATCGCACCGTCGCAAGTCGTCTTGGAAGTCAACTCGATTTTGAACGTCGTGCCGGCGGAGGCTTTGATCCAGACCGATACACCGCCATATGTTGTAGCATCTACACATCCGACTTGCGAAAAGAAGTATGCATCGGTAGACTTCGGTGTCAGTGTGATGTGGTTGTTGCTGACGACACTGGATTGCATGGTATCATCGTCACCTGTCGGCAGCAGAAGGGCGTTGTACCCGAGGAAGTCAAGGCGCGACTGCGATGCCCAATCATCCACTAGAAGCGGCGAACAAGAAGCGGTCGATATAGCTGTGGATCGAGTCGATGTAGTAGTGACTTGGGCAGGCGTAGAGGCTAGAACATATGATTAATATCAGAAACACCAAAACTAAGTCGACTCGTGCTCACTAGTCAAGGTTGTTGGCGTCTGGCCGCAAACGAACGAAACCTTGTCAAGTTGCCATTGCTCCGTAGACAAGAACGACTCGATGACAATAGATACAGCCGCGTTCAGGTTCGCCCCAGTGAAGCTACTCAGTGGGATGCGGAGCGTCTGCCATCCGCCAGTAAGACTCGTGACACGATAAGATGTCTTCGTGTTAGTCGTTGCCGAGCAGCTAGTAGCCGTCGAGAGCTGGACTGTAAAGGCCGCACCCGCAACGGGTGCCTTGATCTCAAGCTGTGCATGAGAGTACGAGTCGGTCTGCAGCGCCTGGCAAGGGAACGTTTCGTAGTAGTAAGCTCCGCTCTTGGGCGTGAAGCTCAGGATACCGCCAGACGCGGAGATGCTGGCCATGCTCCCATCGTCTATTGAAGTCAGTGAATTGCAAGGTTCAAAAATAGTCCGCATACTCACCTGACGTCCACGAGCCGAGATTGTTTCGGTTTGTTGAGAATGAGTTGGACAAATCATCCACCAGGAGGTCAGCAGTACACGCCGCGGCGGCAGAGATTGCGCCGCATGCCGCCGCCAACAGACATTGTGCCTTGAAGTATACCATCTTTTCCAAGTCGAGGCTTTGGTAGCGAGTGTGGTTGACCTGGCAAGCCCAAACTTCACGCCGACCGACGGGGACCGTCTATCCTATATGTGAGTGAGATCACGACATGTTTACCTGGAAAATAGAGATTTGCGCCATACTCTTGGCAATGGAACGACGTGGGCGTCGCTAATGCAGTCCCCTCGGAGCCGCTAGAAAACATCGACATACAATACTGGGGCCGCTGCAACGGCAATTGGTCTCCTGGCTCCTTCCGCACTTGGCGTTCGTCAAAGGTTGCCTTTGGGTCGATTCAGCTCAAGCCAAGATCTCGTGTTCAGTCCGATGTCACCTTAGCGCAAAGGGGCGAGCATGCTGACATCAGCCACAACGCTGCACGTATAAGACGAGAAGTAATCCGAGTGGCATTCCCCCGCGATATTTCAATAGTTCCTGCAGGCCAAGCACGGGCTAGCTGAGCAGGAATGGAACATTGGGTCCCCTGTTGTAAGCATGCCACGTTCGTGGCCCTTCGTTGTTTACTCGACTACGAGCCTCTTAGATCTCCATGATGCGACGCGTGGGCTTTTGTCGCGAAAAGAATACCATAAGTATCGCTTGGCAATTGCTCCTTGTGCCACGACAGATCTATTCCCGTAAACACTACATGCACATCCAAACTAGAAGTTGCTCAACCTCAATGAAACGCCCAAGGCGGAAATTGCTCACCAGTTGAGACGGAAGCTTCTATAGGTCGGCTTTGATTATCGCTGTCGCAACGTGATTTAAATTAAGTGAAAGGTAATAGTGAAATTAGGACTGCTCAGCAGGAATTAGGCCTCATCATAACAAGTCGTGCCTTTCATGATGCAGCGCACAAGAGCAAAAGAGCTGCCAAAAGCCGACCACGGAGGCTGAATTACTGCAAGATCCCTTTTCGACCATCATCGGTCAGGCTTCGTCAGATATTACACTGGAATCAAAAGCTTCATTGTAAACTTCCAAAGGCTCACGCCAATTGGAGTGATGAAGTTTAGAGGATTATTGAGGCTCATGTCCTTTCTCAGCCCGAAGACATGAAGCGGAAAATCGCGCTGAGAACGGTGCTGTAAAGTAGACATTCGAGCTCGAATGACATTTTAAATCCTTGACCTGATACCGAATCTTCCGAAACAGTTCAAACAGTACTTCCGGACTTGCGCGAACCTACTTCAGCCTGGCTTTGCTCTCAACTCACAACTGATACTGGAGACAAGGGGACGCGAAAAATAACAAACAAGAATGATGAAGCTCGGGTATCGTATCCGTGATTGACTCAAGCTTATGTAAGAAGCAAAGTCTTCGTCTTTCCAACGAGCAGCAGAGGCAACGAGTTTAGCCTGAAGCGCTGCTTCCGAGGTCATCTCGCTTAACGGCTGTGCCGCAGGTTGGGCAAGAGGGGTTTCTAAAATTTTAGTTGAGTTCAGTTTCCAGAGAGGTCTCATCAATAGCACTTGATTGTTCGAAAAGCAGTTTAGTGCTGATATTGCGCCCGAAACGCGGTCTCTTACGTCGAATCGACCACTATTTAAGAGTCGCAAAAAGCTTCGATATCGCCGAGCCACCGAACGCGTTTTCACTGAGCTGGAAATCCGAATCGCGGTTGGTTAATTCATGTGTCACGAGGCATTTAGAACCAACACAGCCCTGTGGTGTTGGCATGTTTAGTGCGGCACAGCGGCTAGCGGCCCGACTGAGCAAGGGTTCTTCGCCCGGAATGCGTCTCTTTTTTCCTTCTCGGGCGAGGGCACGATCATATGAACTAGACTGGGCGATGAGATTGGCTTGATCGTTGCCAAGCTTTGGGTTGCCGCAAGCCCGGTTGGTTCTTTAATTTTCATGCTTAAATCTACAGCTTAAAAAGACACTGTCCTGCTTCCCTCTGCAGAAACCTTTCTCCGCTCTTCTCGACATCTCAGTGTTCATCCAAATACTCAGAGAAACTCAGAGAGCACTGACGATTCGCGCCCAAGTCGCCCAGCATGCCGTCCGCTACCTCGACACAGCTTTCTCAATATGTATTTAGCAACGTTGGACCCATGACCACTGTTTGGACACCGCCAGCATCGTGTGCCACGCTGTCGCCCCAGCTCTATATCGCATACAACGACTCTGGCCTCGTATGGCCCCAATGGGCTCAAAAATGCGAAACCCGTAATTATGGAGACTGCTACCCTTCTGGCAAGGCCATTGACACTGCATGGTCTTCCGCCTTCAGTGCCAGCAACCTCGCCAATGCAGGGACCATCTACTACTTTTCACCAGCAAGCGCTTGCCCACAGGGTTACACGACTGCTGGGGTGGCCGCCAAGAACGGTGCTGGAGATGTCAGCTCCTCTGGTGCGTTTGTGCCTCCGGTCGTCACCGACCCTTGGTACCAGGATATGCTGTCATCGAACCCACCAAACAATGTTTTGATGGAGGCCCTCGGGGATGGGGAAACGGCTGTTGTATGCTGTCCCGAGTAAGTGCTCTCCTCCCTGTGATCAGGAGAGCCGTTTTGATTATCTAACATCGAGCCAAGGGGATACACAGCAGACGTCATGGGCGGGGGTCGCTGCTACTCGAATGTGCCTTCGTCACTCTTTGGAGATCCGATGACGGGGTGCAACTACGCGCAGTTGGCTACCGAGGACAAGTATTACACATTTGCGAACGCCACGTTCACTTACAACAACACAATTGTTACCGCTGAGGTTCTTACTTACACTGGAACATATCCGCCGGACGACAGTTACTCGACTACCACAACGATTTTCGACCGTGACCGTGACTACACGGACATGTACGCTCCTATCGCAGCAAGAGAAGGTGTTACCTTGGTGTACAGAGCGTCTGATGTCACGGGCTCTACGACAGGCAGTGGCGCGGCTGGTCCCACGGAGACAGGCTCGAGCAGTGCCGCTGGCTTGAGAGTCACAACCTCTGGTGGCAGAGTCGGAATGGTTGCCGCTGCTTGGACATTCGCCGCCATTGTGGGTGTAATGTTAGGTATGCCTTTTTGAGATGCTGGTAGATCTTTGATGTCGCACGTGTGGAGATACCCCCGATGATTTACGATGGGCCAATTATGTATAAATATCATATCGCGTCTCTTCGTTTTCTACAATGATATTACGCTACTTCCATGGCATCTACAAGCCAAGGAGCTCATTAAGGTCAACAACGCTAATGCTGACCTGGTTGGTGCTGCTGGGAGGCAGTCTTCCGCCTCCAATGATCGCAAGCTGGCTGCCATCCCCGAGGATCTCAAGAGCACGCGAGTAGGCGTTAGGCTGAGGAACAGCATGCTCAACCCAAGCGCTGGCGTCACCAAGCTTTTGGTTGACGAAGATGTTGGACTGGCTGCCGGCGCTAAGGATGATGGTGCCGTTCTCGCCACCGAGAGGGGTCCAGACGACGTAGGGAGAGCTAACGGGGCGGGTGCCGGCGCTGGAGACCAGGGAGATGCCTGGGGCCGCGAGAATGTTGAGGGGGTCCTTGGTCAAGCGGTAGTGCACGCGGCAGCCGTCGGTGCCGCAGACCTCGTAGGCGAAGATGAAGTCGTCGTTGGGGAGCTTGGTGATGACGGGCATGCCGGGGCGCGCCTCGTAGGCATTGGGGTCGTTCACATCGTCGACGGGGTCGCTCCAAGACTTGAGGTCCGAGGTAACCTGGTGAGAAAGCTTCTGGCCGTAATTGGGGTCGCGCTGGTCGGCGTAGTAGATGATGAGCTCGCCGTTGTGAAGGCTGTAAGAAAAGCGCCGTTAGCAAGTGTTTTCAGGGTGGGATGCCAGTGGCTTGTTGCTTACAGGAAATGAGGCTCCCAGACAGGAGTCAGGCCGTTGTTGGGGAGGGCCTCGCCACCGCTGGCAACACTGCTCAGGAACTCCCAGTTGGCGCCGCCATCAGTGCTAACGTAGACGTCGATCTTGGTCAGGCTGAGGTCAGTGGGGATGCTGTTACCAGCGAGCAGGATCGTGCCAGCAGGGTAACCAGCAAAGGCCTCGGGGAGCTCGTAAAGGAAGGGCTGGTAGCGAAGACCCCAGCCATTAACAGTGTCTTGGACGCGTCCGATCTCCGACCAGCTGTTACCGCCGTCGGAAGAGCGCCAGATGGGGAAGTAGACGATCGGAGGCTCCGGGGAGTAGTTCTCCCAAGTGGCGATCAGGTCACCCGAGTTCAGCTGGATGGTGCGAGCGTACAGAACGCGAGGGTCAACCCAGCCGGCGTCGGTCGGCGGGGAGAAGATGACCTTGTTCGAGACGGTACCGGTAGCTTGGCGAGCCTCGACAGGAGTAGGAAGGGGGCTCGCTGCAACCTGAAGGGACAGGAGAATGGCGATGCCAGCGACGGCGGCACCAAAAAACCTCATTTTGTCGGGTCGGAGAGGATTGACCGGGCTGAATTCGAGACAATGGGAGGGCCGACGGGGAGGAGTCAAGTGCCTTGCAAGGGGATCAGAACTCGTAGCTTCCGCACAGCGGGGTAGCTTATATATCTTGCCATTGAAGCTTGAGAGGGGTCGATTTCCATCGTCATGCCAAGCAAGCATCAATCAAGAACATCATCACCAGCTCAGCTTGTATGGGAGGAAGCTTGATTCGTGACTCGTAAACATCTGATTGGAATCCACCCCCAAGCCGGTAGAGTGGCCCTGTTGGGGATAGCTAGCGGCATGTGCAGGTACGACCCCGTGATCATTGGCGCGTCTGGGGTGCTTTGTTTTCGCGCAATTGACAATGTGACCTCATACTGCGTGCGTGGAAGAATAGCCGTTGGGTCGGGGACAGCTCGACCGAGAGCAATGTTACCCTCCCCGCGTTTATGGCTAAGTGCCGTCGAGATCTGGGGTTGAGGTGGGGATGAACCTAGTCAAGGTTTAGTAAATCAAGGATGCGCACCAATGAGGCTTTGTGAAGCTTTCGGAGCGAACCGGGGATCGTCAAACCCGATGGGTTCACGTGCTATTTGACAGCTTGAATTACGGGCTCTATGAGCTTACAAGATGTAGTATGGATGCAGCTTAGCCATTGGAAATTGACGATGGATCTGTTAATGACACAATCGTTCTCCGCCCTGGCAGAAAGTGACTGCACCCCGCGCGCCTAAATTCGGGGGTGATTCATAGGCCGAGGTTCGAATTCCAGGACGATGAATCGAATGATCCCGCTTCGGGCCGAGACGTTGAAGTTGCTGATCGTCGGACAACAACGTGGTCCGGTGGCATCGATCTGGGTGATCGGCACACTTCGCAAGTGCAACGCTGATTGACTGAGACAGAAGCAGTGATATTTACTCAGGAAAATCCGATAAGATATGTACATGAAGTGGGAAAAGATTAATTGCGCTCTTGAAGCCCGAGTCATTTGCTCGTTACGCGGCGGTGGTGAACGACACAACTCGAACAGAGCCTCCCAAAGCTTTCGTAGCATAGTTGAAGATTCCGTACCGGTAACCCATAAAGAATTGCCAATCGTTGTGAAGAGAGAACGACGACCCTAGAGTCGTAAAGGTCTGACCGTCAGTGCTGTAGCTAAACACGGCATTGCCAGCTGCGCCAGGCCGAATGTCTGCCTCCATTCTCAGATAGACTTCCTTCAAGCTGCTTAGCGTGATGCTTTGCCGCTGCACCACCGTGCCGGTGGAAGACGTCGTCCAATCCGAGTTCATGTTGATACCGCCCATGAGAATGATGTTGTACGCGTTGCCGGAACGCTCAACTCCGATCAACGAAGACAGATCGCGCAGCGCTGCGAGGCAAGCACGATCGCCGTCAGCCATGTTGGCGACATCAAGACGGAGTGTGCCAGTTCCGATGGGGCCTCGAATGCGGTGGCTGAGAGTGTTTCGGGCTTGATAGAGATCGGACGTGATAGTGACAGTACGGAGAGTAAGTCCATCGTTTACCGTGAAGCCGTTTGTGTCAGGATTGTGATTCCATTCCCATTCAGGACGAAGGGTCGTTCCCGTAAAAGAATCTGTGCCGAGAGAACTTTGGACATCAACTTTTGCGAGAGGGTATGGATAGTCTCCCCATTGGCCGTTCACTAGTGTCAGAGACGGGAATCCATCACTGCCCCAGGTAACTGGGGCAAGAACTGGAAAGCGACCTCCTGGATATCCATCCACGAAGCCCATGTAGTACCAGTCCCCGTTGGGTGTATCAACTAAACTGCCTTGGTGAGGCGAGCCCGCACTAGGCACAGCAGTAAGGCTTAGCTTGTCAGCAAGCACCTTGACCGTGTACGGACCCCACGGGCTGGAGGATTGGAGCACGTATTGCCCATCAGGCGGTCGGGTGAGGAAGATGTAGTAGTTGCCATTTCGTTTGTACATGCGAGAGCCTTCCAAAGCAGCGATGCTGCTGGGAGTGTTGTATACAACCTCCGAGCGGACCTCGGAAAGACCGTCGGCCGACAGTTGGGCAACCGAAATAGCCGTGTTGCCGTAAGCCACATAAGGAGTGTCGTCGTCGTCAAACATCAGACCCACATCGTAGTAGCAATTTTCGATCGTGCCCGCTCTTGTCCAGGGACCGGCAGGGTTCGAAGCCGTGTAGATGTACGTCTTTGAAAATTCGATGCAAGCAACAAAGTACCACAGACCGTTGCTCGCCCGATGACGAAAGGAAGATGCCCAGATGCCTTTGATGTAAGCTCTCTGACCATCGACCAGGTCGTACTTGGTACCCCAGTCGAGGGAAGGCACCGAATGGCTGAAATACTCCCAGTTGACCAAGTCTTTGGACCGCAGGATGGGAGCACCTGGCGAGTAGTGCATAGTCGAAGCCGTCATGTAGAAAGTATCGTCCACTCGATGGACCTCGTTGTCGGCGAGATCTTCCCATATTATTGGATTGGTGAAGGTCTGCGCCATGGCACAGAGTGCCATCACGACCACCGAAAAAAGCATAGAAGACCGCATCGTTTAGTGGTAAAGGGTGAAGATCCCCAAATAAGAGCCGGTGTGATGGAAGTCAGAGTTCAAACATCATTCATGTCATAGGGAATATCCTCTGACTTTATGTAGTACTTCTTGGCCATGACCGAATCTTTCGGGTTCTTTGCGGTTGATGCGAGGCTATCGGACTCTGCACCGGCATCATTGGGTCGCGAGGTCGGCAACTCGGGTGCCGGCAAGGGAACGTCAATTAACCTGAAGAACGCCATAAAAGGACAGACAGGGCTGACTCCCGTGAATTTTCAAATACAAATCCCACCAATAGAGATTACCTTGATCTAATGATATGTTGTGAATTTCTTGTCAATTCAGTCCGGAAAAGGGGATTTGCGAGCCATTTCGTGACAATGATCGACATAGAAAAAGCGCTTCAATCATACCCCAGCGGTTCGGGAAGGGGCGCTCTGTGTAGTGTCATGCTACACATTTACCCGCCAACAGAGTAGCATCGGCAACGCTCAGCCATTTTCCATGATTACACTCTCCACTTTCAAAATACAGTCAGAAATGTGTTACAAAAGTGGCTGATTGCTATTAGGCTGTCGTGGCCCAAAAGGGTAGGGCCTGGTATATGTACAGTCAATGATTGCGATGACACAGTAGGCACCCCATTTTGAAAGTTGGCATCACAAGCCACTATATGTAACCTTCCATAGCTCATAACTACTTGATCGCTGGTCTACCGGCCTATAGTTATGGGGATGAACTATGGACTTGACGTGTAACGTCAAGTATTGTGTAATCAGGTGTGGTTTGGAACAACCTTTGAAGTAATGTCATCCGCGACTTAAGCGAGTCGTGGGCGTGCTACGATCTCGCATAGTGTGACCAAGCTGTTGAGTGAGCGTGCGGTATTTCAGTGCAGCTCAACTAGGGCACACGCAATCTTCAGAGTCGGTGCAATCAATAACTAATCATAGCCGGTTCCACAGTTTCGAAAACTGAGTAGGCAAATTCTTTACTCCAGTCTCACTTATTGCACAAACATTGCCCTTTACCTAGCACCGCCGTTCTATATATGTGACGAAGTTCTGGAATGATGTAGGTTGTTTCATAGACGATGCAGCTGTTTTGTCGACTCTCGTATTGTGTTTTGAACATCGCCACCATCGGCCATCCCGAGAAACTTAGCGGTCACTAATAACGTCACAGCCTGCAACCAACGAGTGACAGTCTCACTCTGTACCGCGACAAAGACGTTACGTTAGTCAAGAGACCAAAGGGCAAGAGAAATGAGGGTTGACATGATCTGGCCGTATTCTTGTCAAATTCTAACATGAATATGTAATAGCCAGAAATCTCGTCCATCGTCACTGCCTTTCATACAATTCAGAGACCAGACTTCTCAGTTATACTCCATCCCAAACCACCTTCGGGTTCAATGATAAAATGAAGCACATCGGTTTTCTCATAGTACTCTGTGCTGTTGGTTCCGCCGCACCTGCAAGCGAGCAACGCCAAGCTTCCACATTCTACAAAATTGACGAGTTATATGCTGGATCAGGGCCAAAATCTTCATTTACAAGCTATAGCTTCGAAGTCGGAATCGTTACCGAACGCGGCGCCATGATCAACCAAGCGTCCTGCAGGTCCAGCAGCGGCGACAACTACCACAGCCCTTCGATTCCGCCCACTTGGACGGGATGGTGCACCGATGGCTACTACAACTTCACTTTTGTCTCGGGAAGAGATCACGACTCGCATGGATACCACCTAAATCTTACGGATTCACTCGGCGGGCGCCGAGCTCAGTTCTATCCACAGTCGCTGGTCTATCGCGTGCAGAACAATGCGAACCCCGACGACCCTGACCCGTTCCCCAACTATGCGCTCCGCGCCATGAATACGAGTTACGCCCCACGGTGCATGCACTCTGCTGCGTCTTCTTAGGCTCTGATCACAGAACGATCTGAGAGTTGCGAGACACGGGGGAAAGCCTAGTGGAAAGCCTCGGGCTTCGGAGTGCTTTTTCCTTCCAAGTTTCGTTTTCGCCCTTTTTCTATTTGAACAGAGATTTCGATTGGAGCTCGAAAATAATATTTGTGGGAAACAATAAGTCGCGGTCTTGGATCTGGCTGTATCAGTGATACCTTCGGCTTACATGTATCACGTCTGTAAGCTACAATTAGACCGTGGCCAGGAGGAGTGAAATCCACCATTGAATAGTTTCGTCAGACAAAAAAGAGTATGTTATGAACTTGTCATAAGAGACATTCCATGAAAGCTTCCCATTTGCGAGGCCAATGACAAACAAAGATAACCAGATCTTACAAATTACTATCTACCCTCCAGAAGGCCATATGTACAGGTATTGTCAATATGATACATGGCATACCACACTCCAGCTCGATCTATATCCATGGTCATGACCTTTGCTTCAACATGTGCCTTAGAAGACTTAAGCATCGGTCAGGACGACATAGAAGCCAAGAGGGCAGCCGTCGTTGCTCTGTTGGAAAGAGAAGACGGTGTCGGGGGAGCAAAGGCTGCCAGAGACAGTAACAGTGCCGGGAACATTGGCGGGAATGCCACAAGGGGCGCTGTTGACGATCTGAGATTATGATGTTAGCTTATGAACCATGTCGGACGACAGTGCAGGACTTACGTAGCTGTGACCGGGAGTCATGGTGGGCGGAGGGTTGGGAGGGCTCGGGCCAGGCGCAGGCTGCTTGTTGTAGGAAGTGACTCCGGCCACGGCGCCGGCGCCGATGGCGTAACCAGTGAACTGGAATGTACCCGGGCCGTGGAATAGGTACTTTCCGAGAGCCTGCTGGTCGTACGAGGGGAAATCGAAGACGAGGTTGCAGACCTTGCCCTGGGTCTGAGCAACAGGCAAGTCGAGGTTGAAGACGGTGCAAACGTCGTTGGGGGTCACAATCGCCATCTTGGTGGCGGGGAAGGCAACGCTGGGCAGGTTCTTGGAGATGGGAACCAGCAGGCTGGTGTTCACGTAGGACTTGCCGAGGGTGCCATCAGGCTGGGCGGTGTTGGTCGGGCAAGTCTTGCCTCTCTTGCTTCCGTAGCTGTCAGCGCCGGGAGCAGCAGCCGCAGAGAGGGCGAAGGCCAGGGCGGTGGTGATGGTGGAAGTCTTCATGTTGAAGTTGGGATTGAGCTGTCGGGCTGGAGTAAAAGCCTTGAGACCTGAGGCTGATGTGTCAATTTGTAAGATCGGAGAAGAGAAGTTGAAGAAGTGTGTTGCTGGCGATTATCTAGAGACGAGGAGGAGGTTCCTGTCTCTTTATATACAGCTATTGCTGTGAGGGTCTATCGCGGCCTAGATGTATAGCTCAGATGCGGCCTCGGATTATGGCTACTGCAGCTTATTGCCGAACAGGATTGTGGATTCTGTTGCGGCTGAGAGAGTTGCGTGTTGAGCCTTCTCCGGAGGACGCATCGCTTTGAATAAAAAAGTTTCCAACCCCACGGTAACGGTTGCTGTGTCCCAGCGTTGACGCGGCAGATGACTTCGTTCTAGAGCGAAGGAGCAGCGCTCCGACTACGCAAACTGGTTAAACGAAAAACACTAGTCCATGCACGTTGGTTGTAGTTGCCGTGCTCTGGCAATTTCGGGGAAGTTTTCGCTCGATGCGGTCAGATTTTAGACCTGGGGTCGCGGGTCTTCGCCCTAGCCCGCAAAATCAAGCGTCGGCCGGCATATTCAGCTTGATGTCAGCTCAACGACCAAGCGCGAAAAATGTGGCGCACAACGGTGCCAATAGTCAGGCACCAGACCAGAAGCAAAAAAGAAAATGGCGCGGAGATCCTCGTAGGTCAACGCTGTGACTCGGAGCCGATTTCCGGTTTGTTCTGGTTCCCTTTCGGCCTGAGTCGTTGCAAACTCAATCCATGTTGATAATGCGAGGGCGAAGGGAGCCTGATGAGAATACAACAGCCGCAACGGACTACCCCAACTCTTGGTTGCATATATTGCTTCAAGGATGAGTTCGTGAGCTATTTGTACCCTTGCTGCATTTGCTTGACTTTGACGAATCCCATCTTGTGTTCATGCGTCCCCAGCGCGGGGTTTTCAATGTCGTGTAACATGAATGCAACACAGATGTAGGTAAGCGGCTAGTGTGAGCTGCAAGCTACCTAGAGAAATACGAGGCATCTACAATCTTCACTAAAACGGCTTGCCGTTGATCTCGGTAAGTAAGATGCGCGAAACCGTTGCGAACCGCTACATGTTACCGTTTGGTTGGTTGGCAGTCTAAATATTGGCGCCAATCAACTGCAGTGCTGATCGTAATCCAGGGATTTAGACATCCATAGATGCCTTTGACGTCCGGCACTATGCTCTCTAGCGCCGCTTATCATTCAGGGGTCGCGAATCACGATGAACCAGGCGGACTTCAAAGAAAGACGCTTTTCACGGCCAATCGGGTCAACAATTTTAACCACGCTGAATCTCACTTCAGGCGTCATGAGGGGATGTTTTGGTAGACATCTAATTATCACTGACGGTGCCGCGGGTGCTTTTTGCAGTGACGCCGCCTTGGCGCTAATTCTCTCACTGGCACTGAAAAGTCTGACTGAATGAAGTATCCCCAGAAAAAGCGCCTGCAATGACGGATACTTGCTTCAAGTTGGTATATATGATACATACATCCGCGGATGGTTTCCGCGCTACGGGTCCATCGAACAAGATGTGACCTCAACTGGTTGATGCCGGCCGCCCGGTCCGTCAAGCCCGTGCCGCCGAAAGGCGACCAAGGACCCACTCGGCTTCCGGGAAGAGTCGAGGGCCCGGGCAGTACGGCGGAGAGTGTCTCGACAAATTCCATGGTTACCACACCCAACGCGTAGAGTTCGAGCTTGGCATACTGCGAATTCTGCATTAGTATCAAGCATCAGCGTAAGTAACCTTTTCACAAGACGATCCTCCAAACGTCGATGGCTACCGTCACAGGCCTCGCAGCATCAAGCTGGGGCCTGCACCACCCTCAATCTTCCCAGCACTGGCTTTGAGCTCCTCCAAATCCCAGTTGGCGAAAACAAGTTTCCCATCCAGGAAAGCCGCTTCTTGGCTGGCGGCCTAGACGAGAAAGTCTGCGGGAAGAGAGACTTGAACGTTTCAGCGACGGGGAGCTCCTTCAAGTCGGTCGGCACGTACTGTCGTCATACGGAAATTTGAGTCCTGCCTTCTCAAGCTCTTCAGCCATCGGAATCTGGGTAAGACCTGGGTGCATCAAAATGACTCGCAACTTGTCCTTGTTCTCCAAAGCAACTTACTCTGATAGCTTCAAAGAGGACATCTTTCTTACCGCATACCCGTCGCATGCCTGGTAGCGGAGGCATGATGCTTCCGGCAGTGTTGAGGACGATAAGGACCGGTTGAGATGGACGTTCTTGATCCGAGGTGGTAACAGCCAACATAGTCTGAGCCCAAGTCAGGAAGCCTTTGATGTTTACTTCGAATGCCCTCTAGAGGTCGTCGAGGGCCACTGTTGCTAGAGGGCCCAGGGGCGGGAGGGCTACAGCTGCGTGTATGAAGATGTCAATGCGTCTGAACTCGGAAACTATCTGGCTCAGCGTAGACTTTACAACCTGTTCGTTGCAGATATGAGCAACGTAGCAGGATGTTCCAGTGTTGAGGCCTTTCTCATGAACTGACTTTGCAACTTGCTTAAGTAACTCCACTCAACGGCCGAGGAGAATCAATGCTTTTGCTCCGGCTGTAGCGAATGAAAACGAAGTAGCGTCCAATCCCACATCCGGCTCCAGTTATGAGGACGACTTTGCCGGCGGTGGAGATCGAGGGGTTTGTAGCAGAAATTGCCGCGTAGCTTGCGCTGTGGGTAGTCGGAGTATAAGACATGTTGAATTATGGTACTGATTGATGATGGCACATGTGATTTGATGTGATTGGAATGATTCTTCCAACTTCTTTTGAGACGGTAGAAACGTCTTCATAGGAACAAAGGTAGCGCAGCGGGCCACTGGTTTGCATGCGAAGCCAACAATTCCATGATTGGTCAACATTAAGCTCCAGCTCGTAAAGGACTCCAAGTTGAGCAAAAGTGTCCTCATGCCAGATAGAGATTGATTGTGATCGTAACTGCGCAGGAAACAAATTGAAATTCGTTGTGTTTGTAATCGTTTTCTGCTGTTTGTACAGACAGACAATGACGCTGATTTGCAATTGTCGAAGGTTCACGGATTTGATGTTCCCTAATATGGTATTTCCTGAAAGAGCAGAATCATGTCCGTTTCTATTGAGTGAACTACTACACTGATCACAGCTGCCGACAACGCCAAACCTTTTCAGATCTATGTAATCCCCGTTGAGATCCTTCACAGAACCTTGGTTTTCTGATTACTGATGCTCGGAACAATAATTCGCGTATTCTTGTCAAATTTAGCGGTGCAAGCTCCCAGCTCTCTGTCTTGGCACACCATGCTTGCTCTCGCTGACACGTCTTTCCAAGCCCCATTCCTCCTCCCGAGAACCACCAGGAAGGCCGGGCTTGCCACCTAAGCTCGCTAACACCATTTTGTTCGTCGCTGTGAAGTCATCTAGAATCCGCAACTCCTTCTGAGTGAACCATCTTGGTACCAACACAACTCTCATGGGAATGAGCAAGATGATCAGAACCGGGAACCCTATTGCTGCAAGGGTGTGCGAGATGGCTACACACGCCGCAACATCCACGAATTGTAGAATAATGTAAAGCCAAATTTTGCGACGGCGCACTTGTAGCAATGGCTCGTCGCGTTGAATGAACCGTTTCTCGGCGTGGAGGAACACAAATTTCTGCAAGATGGAGTTTGACTCGATGGACCCCCACTGATCCTTGTTAGTTATCATCCAAAGAAGCGAAATGTCACGTTGAACCTACTCCCACAACGAAAAATACACCAGCGAAGACCGCGGCGGGCATTGTGTGAAGAACAACAAGAAGAGGCCCAGTCATCGTTCCAATCAGGGCAAGCCCCATCAATAGGTGCGACAGCCGCTGCTCGACGACATGAGTTGCGCTGACAATTGGACGGCGGATCTCAGTATACTCCCCCTCTGATGTCGGGATGATCTTCAGACTTGTCTTGTAGACTGTCAACGAGTCTGTGTGAACTGGAGCTTGGGGAACAAGACCATTCGGCATCGGGAGCCCAAGGATGCCTGCGACGAAAGTGGTGCACCCGAGAAGGAAGAAATCCCAATGAAACCCGCCAGGTTTCTGAAGTGGGTATTGGCGAGCTTGTGCCGTAATACTGCTGACATTCTATGAAGTGGTTAGTATGGTTTCTTCGATATCTCGGGTCGCAACTTACATGGTCGTAGTAGAATAGCAACATGGTCAGGAAACCAAAAGGCATGGCAACAAACACCCACTTAACATCGAGATTCCAGAAGTCGATCAGCCAGTTTCGGGGCTGTGTGGGATGGAACGCTGTCTCTATGGGAACTCTCATAATGTGTGCGTCCTTTAAAGGTCCTGGAATGTGGGAGAAGCCGACCCAGAAAACCGTAGCAAACTGTGGGAATGGACGTCATGCAATCATTCAATTATAGGAAAGATGATCTGAAGACGACTTACGACATAGGCGTAGTCTGCAAGAATGCCTCGGAAACCCGCTCTCCAGAGAGTACTAGAGCCAAGCTTTTCTAGCGCGTAGACTGTTCCGAAATAGAGTATGGCAATCAAGCAAGCCAAGTACCCAGCAGCACTGCCCTCAGTCGTGAACTCATTGACTAGTTCCTCGACTCCTTTGACTATAATGATGTGAATAAACGGTGCCATGTATAGCAAGGGTGATGACTTACTGATATAGATAATTCCCACGTACAAGCCAAAGGATTCGCTAGAAAAGTCCGTCACGTAACGCATGTAGTCGCATCCGTTGAAGACTGCAACCAGCCAGTGGAAAATTGCAGCCCAAATTCCTGTCCAAGCCATGAATTGTGGGTAGATAGAAACGTCGTAAATCTTGATGATGTCGTAGATCGTGAAGTTGAAGAGAGAGATCAGGCCGGTGACGCCAACTATCGTCAGGGGCTGGGCGCTGAGTGTGCTGAAGACGACGGCGGCAAGTGCTGACGAGAAGAGTGCTTCGTTGACACCGAAGAATTCGCCAGTTCTTCGGTACATGTCGAGAGTGTATGCAATCGCTGGAAGCAGGCTGGACCGGTTAACTACATTTCGATATAGGAACAGTTGGAAAGCGTCATCTTACTTCACAAAGTACATCCGGATTGTACTTGCGACGGTGCGATATGTCCATGCGTCGGCGATATCACTCCAGTAGTATGGCAACCTTCGCTTGATATCATGGTAGATACCTCGTCCGGGACGAAGAACCCTCCAGCGTCGCCATCCCTTCTCATCTTCATAGGAGTAGGACATCTTCGTTTCAACCGGCTGCAATTGCGTATTGCTGGAGCTGCTGGACTCTGGCTCTGTTGCCATGATGAACTGTGTGGCGGAGTAGCGGGATGGATGGGAGAATATAAGAGCGCCAAGCGTTAGGGGTGCAAAAGAAATAGGATTAAGGGACGCTGCGGCCTCAATGAGAAGTCCTGGATGGTTGGATCTTAGACAGCCGCCTCGTTCGTATGAGACAGGAAGCTTGTATTATACAGGATGCAAGAGTCAGGCCCAGGCCAGAGATCTTCCTAAAGAAAACATGACTGCAGGGGCAAAGGGTGCGCCGCCGTCTACCTAGGTTAGGAGCGGTACTAGAGCCGTTGCCCGGCGTGACGTCACAGGATCAAATGTTTCGGCTCCATTCGCAACATCCGGTATGGGGACTGCCATTGCTTTCGGTATGTCTACCGCCCCGACAAGATATCTGGCTGAACATGCGAAAGCTGATGCTCCAGAAACGGCCGACTATCTATGAGAACCATCTCCATCACCTATCTGCATGGCTGTTCTTGAGCCTCCTCGTTCCTCTGCGATCATCCTGTTCGTCGCTAGTCTTCTTCGCTGTAGATGAGGTCCGAAAGTGCCCGTTCCCTTCAGATCACGCATCATTTGACGCACTCTGCCAAGGGGCGACAGTGCCAAGACTCAGCAGGTCTCTGGGCGGGCAGAACCCAGCCAGTCCCGAAGGAGAATTGGGGGGAATGTACGATTTCGTCCGTATTTGCGGCACTAGCGCTGGACTAATCTTCAGTTTTCTGCCCGGGCAGCATAGACTTAAACGAACCACAGTGGCACCGTGGCAGGTCCTGTCAGTCCCTGGCCACCGTGCCCCAAAACCCGCTCACCTAGCGTTGAGCACATCGCTGCAATGGTGCAGACGAATGATACGATGGGAACTATGTGACTATGATGCTTCATTCGGCCGCAAATCGGAGTACCTTTGCCGACACAGCTGTCTCCTAACCGTTGCCAGTCAAGAAACAAGAGGTAAACCAGCGTCTGTTGAGTCGCTCATAACTTTAAGGGGAAGTAAAAGGCATTGCAACAGTTCAGCAGCTGCGAGATACGTGCTACTCTGAATGGAGAACATTCTATTTCGTCGACACACTCAAGCGATCAGGCAATTGTGATTGATGTGACATTCGCCTCCTGTTCCAACTCAACATAAATAACTCGGCACAATACTTTAATTCAAGATTGCTTGCGACGAACGCTTGGCTTCCGCACATGTGGCAGACCTTCATTCCACTTTCGTTCCTCCGAACTGTCGTTCATTGGCGCCGATATGAGAGTCGATCTGTGTGTTAAGTTTCCCCCCGGACGAGGCTGGTTCCATCCTGGAGAAGAGGTGGAGGGAACGATCGATGTTCATGTGCAAGACTCGGTGGCTATTGCCTCTATCACGGTCTCACTTCAAGGTATTCAGTGATATGGTTGATGTCGGTGGCTCCAGCTGCTAATGGAGATGGCTCTAGGCAGGCTAGACATCAGATGCGCCGCTGTATTGACACCAGATTCCTCCGCCAAGATGCCGCAATCGAACACGACACAACAGTCACGCAAGGCAAGTATTCTGAAGCACACAGCGCATGGGCTCGCCGCCTGACAATTGGTGGGAGCAGATTTTCAAGCGGTCGTCACAGATCGCCCAGGCCGCAGGAACTCTCAAGGAGGGGAAGCATTGCTTCCCCCTATCACTTTGTTTTCCGCATTCCACAGCTGACCCCCACTGCGAGACCATTTGCCTCCCACCGTCGACAGGGATCAACACTGCCGGCCTGAAAGTTACCGTCGCCTACGTATTGAAAGTGAAAATTCAACGACAAGGGATTCTTCGTTTCAACACTGTCAAGAAAACAGAATTACTCTTCCGGCCCCTGCCTCAATTTCGAGTTATTTCGCCGACCATCGGTGATTGCTCGTGCACTTCTTCCATTGCAGCCGAGGAATTGGAAACTCCGCAGCCGCTGGCGCAGGTCCGGAGTACCCTGCCGGCACACAGCCCTTCCCTGCAGCTCAAGATGACCATTCCGGCGCCGCCGGTGCTAAACCCCCATAGGCCCCTAGCGTTGGCTCTGGAGGTTTCCGTTCAACGTGACTTGATGCAGAGGCTGGGGCCAATCTCACTACGGAATCTGGTGCTGCGCCTTCGCACTACTACCGCAGTATGTGTGGGTCAGAGCTCGGAGGAGGACGTCAGGTATGATCACATTTGCGGTATTGTGGGCGATATACCGATTGCTCCTGCGGAAGGGCAAAATGACTTTTCTCTTGACCCCGGCATTTGGAAAAGCCACGTCGTCCCACTCGTTTCACCAACCTTTGGATCTTCCGTGCTTTCAATCAGGCATGCCTTGGAGGTTATCTGTGGGTTTTCCACAGGTACACACAAGAGGATTCAGGTATGTTGCCAAAGCGAAAAAGACATAGACATGAACTGACTGTGAAGGTACAAGTGCTTGCGAACGGGCGTTGAGGTAATTATCGCGGATGCAGAGTTCCACGACCCCCCGCCGGCTTATGCCATGATCAATGGTATTGAGGAACTGGCCTGCTCCTCCAGTGACGACTTGTAAAATTGAATTTTCAATCTAGTTCATACTTTAGCTGAAATATCAACAAAAGCCATTCTTCGCGATCTCAATGTTCCCACCCTTCCGACGGAATCACACACTGGTCCCAAGTGAAGAATGCTCGGCGAAAGGTAATGTTTTGGTCTACAGTGATCAACTTCTTAATCTTTCTATATTCCATCATGAAGGCACCCTTTGTGCACCATGAACTCTTAAGGGCTTTTGACAGCTCTCTTGCGCCAAAAGTCTGCAACCTCGTAGTCGAGCTTTCTCAGCGTAGGCCCGGCAGCCCAACCACTTGTCCTCAACTCGGCGACCCGGAGCCAGGGAGGCATGGCCTCTTCCCGATTGCCAACCCCGGCGAAGTGAACAAGGAAATCTCCCGGCCTTGCATGATACGCCTCCAGTTTGACCTGCTCATCTGCTGTGAAGTCTCTCTGTGGACCAGGATAAGCGTTGAACCACCACTGAGGTACCCACGTCACATTGTGTCGAAACTTTTCTTCTTGAAGGAGGAGCTCCATGGCACTTTGCTCCGTAAACTTCAGCTCCACGTCCGGCTTGTAGTGTCGGTAAGACAAGATCGAGTCGAAGAGGTCAACGCTCCATCTGTTGACCCTCAGTAGGAATACCCCGTTGTTCAAACCGTTCCAGTCCGTCGTCGCAAGGAGATGAATGTTACCCTTGGGGAACTTGTCTCGCTTGGTGATGTATGCCGGGTCGGGTCCGTTCGCGGCCCATCCAGGAGCAGGGGGCAGGAAACTTGCTGGAGACCGGCAGTTGTCCAGGACGATGGTATCGCGGTCGACCCACAACAACCATTCCAGTCTCTCTTCTAGGGGTTTCGCGAGCTCGTCGAGAAGGATCGAAAGAATGAAGGCAGGTTTGTTCCATAGATCGTCGACGATATTTTCGCAAAGGACATGAACATCGGTGCCGTGGATTATGCTGTGGACCAGATGGGTCCGCAAGGCTCGTTGATAGTGGTGCTGGGGCTCGCCGAATTGAGCGGTGACTGTTGCAATCCGTGGATTCTCACGATCCATCTCTGCAGAGTTATTCTTGCAATATTTGATGCTTGTTGACACGTCCTCGGATAGAGAATCATGATTGAACGGAAAACAGTCGTCGTCTCCATGGCAGTGTAAGTGAGAATGTGAAGGCTCCGTCCTGCGATGAGGCAGTCTGGTCAGGTAAGGATAGTACATGCAAAACAACTGTATTGTTGCAACCAGTTGAAAGATAATGAACAAAGCCTTTGATGACGGGAAGGCTGTTGGGAATTTCATGATTCGGACGTTGAACATTGACAGCAGAGGTTGGACGAATGTTGGCATAGACTTCAGCAAAGTTTATGGAAAGTAATCGCACTTTATCCGAATGTCCCACGGCTTTTCCTCATTTCCGTTGCGTATGTTGTGACAAGGTTTCGAGACATTGCTTGGCAAGTCTGCGTCAACGTCGTCCTGCTACTGCTCTTGGCCCTTGGCATTGCATTGGCACCCATGAATACGACCAGCCGATCCCACCGCCCCGGGACATAAAAGCGGCTCATCCCAGGGCTGAGCAGCTGATTTAATTCTGCCCTGGCAGTCAGTTTGTGCTTGGCCTTATCCCTTGGGAAAGCCCCCTATGTTTGGGACTCGTTGGTCGATGGGTGGTGCTTGGCGGCTTGGATGCTGTGATGGAGCCTGCGGGAGCTCAGCAATCAGAGCCGGAGGACAAAAGTCGATATAGAGAGGCAGATTCGGTCTGATTTCCAACGATGCAAAAGTGAATTCTTGCTCATCATGACGATTCTCTTTCGCACTTCACGCAAACCGCAGACAAGTTGTTTTCAAGGCATCGTCAAACTCTCGCACCATGCTTCCGGCACACGGCCTGTAAGAAAGACATGAGCGGAACATCGGATCGCACTAATTGATAATGTAGTACCCACACAACGGTTTTGCTGCTTCTGAGTAATGTACGGTTGAGTGAACAATACTATGTTTTCTCGCGTATCCTTGTACATGTAGAATAATGTTTAGTCGTTAGTCATGGAGGTTTCGTCTGCACAACGGACTTGTTAATGAGACGTACAACTTTCTGGAAGTCAGAGCAACGAGGCAGATGCTGCAATGAGCTAAGAGCGCGAACCGGACTTGCAGATTTCATCACCTTCCATAGCCAATTGATTCTTCACAAAAAAGAAGAACGGTTTCTACTTTTCTCACTTTGGCTAAAATCAAGACACCAGCAGACTACTATGGTTCGTCTATTTGTCAGGTTGGATCGGGTATTCCATTTTGTGCAGATATAATCTCGAAGAAAGGATGTCGGGTCTCAAACGCTTAACCACCAGTATGAGGTGGGAGGTTTACGAGAAGCTGTCAACGGGAAGGTCCACGTGGAAATATGGTCAAAGATCAAAATGCGACAACCGCAACGAAAAGTGATAACATGAAAGCATGAGTTTTGATATCATCATATAGATGGTGAATTGAAAGTCAATATCATTGGTTAACTTGCACGCCCTACGTTGGTTCCATGGAGAGACGCAGTTGAATAGACTCCCCACTCCCCTAGCACGAAGTCTTGCTTTAGATGCTTGCTAAAGACCTACTCTAGAGAGATGCGTAATATCGAAAACCCAAGGCTTTGTACTATTGCGACGATTGAATGATAAATGTGCAAACCCGATGATTACTTGGTTTACAAGGAAACCAGGCGGATAGGAGAATCAGGGCCGAGGCAAGACCGGGCAAAGATTGCCGAAAGTCGGCAAGGGGCCGGCAGCGAAGAACCGCGGACATACTGCCTGTGCAACGATAAAACCTCATATCTACGTAAGGTATTCAAGCAGCGAATTGCGACATAGAAAGTACCATTGCAAATAACCGAGCTATCGGCTAGTTCAAGGCGCGGGCAACTCGCCCGACTGTCGGCTGTAGCCTACCATGCGGTAACATTACCTAGGATTGATTGAGCAGGTCAACTCAACTTCATCCAGTTTGCGGGGCTACAGGGGATTGTCTACGAATACAGTGTCGTTGCCAAGACACATCAACCCCATGTGCCAAGAACCCCATTGATACGATATCGGAGTGTAACAATTGATCATGAGCGACTCAACTTGTAACATAAATATCATACTTTTATTCGAGCTGTTGATTATTGCATCTTTTACGATCATGCCTTTTCTCTCTACTTGGAAATTGGCACGGGTAGCTTGGATATCGTAACAATGCAGTCTTTACTGAAATCCACAATCGCCTTTCTCGCGTCAAGCACTCTCCTACACACATGTGTCAATTGCCAAGAGCTAGCGGATCAAGTCTTTGCTGCCATTGACGCCCGAAATGATGGTCTGAGAACCCTCAATACGGAGGTGAGACAACGATAGGCAATAGACTATGATTCTGCAGAGACCTCTTCGGTCCGTGTTTTCTAACAAAATCATGAAGATTTGGGAGAATCCGGAGATCGGATACCAAGAAGTCCACGCACATCAGGTTCTCACCGACTACCTCGAAGAGCAGGGATTCAAAGTCACTCGCAGCGCCTACAACTTGAGCACCGCCTTTAGAGCCGAGTTCTCCAACGGTGAAGGTCGTGCTGTGTCGTTCAACTCCGAGTTTGATGCTCTCCCTGGTTTGGGACACGCTTGCGGGCATAACCTCATCGCCACCGTTGGTGTTGCCGCGGCAATCGGTGTGAAGGATGCACTAGAGAACGGTAACGTGAAAGGGGCGGTGGTGTGAGTAAGCTTATCCTCCACTCGGGACCTCGAATTGACAACGATATTGCAGCCTTCTAGGTACTCCTGCGGAGGAAGGGGGTGGTGGCAAGGTGAAGATGCTTGAGGCTGGCGCATACGACGGCCTTGATTGCAGCTTGATGGCGCATCCAGGAAACTCCGACTATGCTGCATGGGGCAGAACTCTGGCATCTTGGCGAGGAAACGTCTCTTGGACCGGAGGCAAGTGACCGCTACATTAAGCTCTTCTTATAATTTCGCTTACCGTGGCTCGATGATAGTTGCTGCACATGCGGCTGCAGCACCGTGGGCTGGTCAAAATGCTCTGGATGGCTTTGTCGCTGCTTACCAGATGGCTGGGCTATTCCGCCAACAACTTCAGCCTTCTGATAGAATCCATCATGTTGTCACAAAGGGATGGTCCGTGGCAAACATCATTCCGGACTACATTGAGAGTCAATGGGGTGTGAGAGGAAACACCAGGTAGGTTTTCCATCGCATGTCCATTATTTTGAACTTGCAGTTGACTGATTGTCAGACCACGACGTGATGTTGTCCTCGACCAGGTTCAGTCTATTCTCTATGCGTCTGGCAACGGAACGAACACTACAGTGGAAATCACTCCCTTCCAGGACTACTGGGATCAAAATCCTAGTTTCCAACTGGCGAGTACGTTCTATCAATATCAGATGAAGTACCTTGACCCAGCCGATGACCCGAAAACGGCCAACTTCACAGTATCCTCCCCAGAAGAGTCACGACGAGATGGGGGCGCCTCCGCGTCGTCTGATCAGGTACGGAAATACAATATATGCTCCGAAAGACAACTTCTAACTTGCGGTGTATAGGGTAATGTTTCTTGGTTCCTCCCGGCTATTCAGGTTGGCTTCCCCGTTGGCGGAGGTGCTCCCGTACACAACGCTGGTTTCCGAGAGCTCGCCGGGACGGTATGTTTGGGCTCTCATTAAGAAGTGTCGCATGCGCGAGATCGCTGATTCTTATGTAGGACTTTGCACACGAGTCAGCTATCCAGACTGCGAAAGTTCTAGCAATGACCGGCCTCGAGGTGTTGCAGAATGAGACTTACGCGGAGACCATGTGGGAGGAGTGGAGAGCCATGATCGAAGAGGTATCGGTCTCGATATAGACAACAACAAACTTACATATGACGGAAGTGACGGCGCGTGCTGTGGTGATCATGTTGGCCGAGGCATCTGAAAGAGGAAGAGAATGTTATGCCTTAGCAAGAATAGGTCGAGAGGGAGCTTTGACGAATTTCGAAAACAATGGCAGCGATCATTTCACTCATGCATTTTCTCTTACGCCGTTCTCAGCGATGCCGGCGTAAATTGGCTTTTCTCTGACCATCATCCCGCACAACAAATCAAACCAAAAGCGATCCGCGTTGCAACCCTCCACCAGAGTCAATTTTCTCACTCGTGTGGTCCAGGCTCCCTATTTCTCTACGACATTCTCTCCTCGCTTCCCAGTGCAATCAACTCATGAGTCACTCTTGCGTTCTCCCACCCAATCTGACTGATCTCGGCAATGTTGATACGGTATGCGACCCCGTCAGGTCCCCGTGCAACTTGCAGTGCAACTCGCTTTTTCTCAAAATCTGGAGGCGCCGTATTTTCTGCAATGACTATGAATTCGTATTCTCCGGTCTTACTTGCACCAGTAGCAAAGCTTTCATTGCATCGGCCGGTTTCGCCAACTACGCTGCCATCAGAGTCAATGATATGCTGGACATAGTATGCGTGTTGGTTTTTCTCAAGTGGGTTCCAGCCAGGCTGCCAGACGTCTGACTTGATGGGTTCCGTCACTCGAAAACGCGCTGAGTCAGCCCAGAAAAATAGAATCTGATCTTCCGGTGTTTTGTCGAGTTCTTCAGTCGTCAAAGCAGGGTAGTGATCCTTGACCACATTGAGTGAAACTGCAGAGCTTCCTCTTGCGGCAGGTGGGTTTTTTGGATTATCCAAGAACAAAAGGCGGACTTGAACTAATCTCAATGGTTCGCGTCTCAGAATGTAGCAAGAAATCACAGGATCCAGCCTTTGTTTTCGTCAGTGATTTTAGCCATTAGTTTTCCTGGCAGAGCTTACCCGGCTTCAACATGGCGATCTTCAATCGTCAGCCCAATAGGGCCTTTCCAGCCGATTCAACTCCAGCTAGGGAATGGGACCTTTCTCTTGAGAGATGTAGTCGGGAGAGTAGTTAGGGCTGAGCGTCTTCTCACCCCCTCCAAGTTTGGTTCCCAGCATAGGCCGAGTTCGAATCTTGAGGTCGGAAGACCCCATAGAAATCGCTCTCCGGACATCTCCTGTGCCTGTTGAATGATAGCCGAGAAGGCATCGTAGGCATCACCTTCCCCAGTGAGCTCTCTGTTCGAATAATCACGCGCGAGACGATGTATTTTGTGCCACATCTGATCACCATCCATCTCAGGCGCGTACCGGTCTCTGTATGCCGAATTGAGATAGGATTCGGAACCTGACAAGTTGAACCATGAAACAACAGCGGATGCCTCTGAGTTAGTCTCCTCACTCCAGTGTGACTCGCAACAGGCCCAGGTGATTTGCTCATCAAGAATCGTGATGCTCCTTCGTGAGACAGCTCGTTCTTGCAATGTCCACCCCCTAGAGGACCATGTCGTGTCCGAGGTAAAGTTTGAAAATCGGCTTGATGTATGGCTCAACGTAGACAAGAGGGATATTCCTTCCTCGTATGTCGATGTTCTTATTGTAATCTCTTTCTGCACCCGATTTCGGTCAGTTGAAATACCAGGCAAACCGGCGTGAGAGTCTTTGCCGCTGGCAGCAATGATGTTGAGCAGGGCATTCGCGTATATGTCCGCCATTTTGCCAATCTGCACTGCTTTGTGTGCATCGCTATCCTAAACAATACAGAGAGCATCTACCCATATGTATCGAGTCCCCATGTCTTTCGTGAATTTGCAGGCATCTTCGATGGTCCGAGAGAGGCGGCCTCTGAGTGAATTCTCTTTCCGTAGCTTGTTGCGATTCCCCTCGAATAACATCTCATTCTGGGGGGTTTTACCCCACACGTAGCTCAAAGTCATGTAGTTCAGATCTTTGAGTAGCACGTCTGTGCGTTCCACAATTCCCATCGTTTCTACATCTATGAGACGAAACACAGGCATATACCCAGGCATATGTCCAGGGACTGGATGGCTTCGATTTCATGTCAGTCTTCATTGACAACCATTGCAGTAATATGACACACTGACCTGGAGTACCTGGAGCCTCCAGCTATGCCTTGATCTCCGTCTTGATCTTCCACTTGTGCAGAACCACACGATGAGGTGTGGTTTTCCTTGCAATGTTTAACCCATTGAATCGGAAGACGCATGTCCACCTTGGATGGCCTGGTTCTCCCCGCAAAGAGAATGTCGCTTGGATTATGAGTGCCTCCAAAGAAGGTTCTCGCGTTGAAGGAATCCTGCGATCTTGCGACATCGTACGTCTGGAAGCAGTGAAATATCCGCTTCCAAGACGCCTCCTTGAAGCCCACGCGTCCAGGATTTAGTCCATTTTTGCTGTTCTCGCCGAAAGGAATGAAGTAAATTGCCAAACGTCTCATGATAAACTCCGGATTCGCCTCTCCGGGCTGAGCTCCTTCCCAAATAGTGCCCTTTGGAGGTTGTAAGGCCCCGGCAATGTCACATGTAGCATAGCACAAGGGATCGGTCAAGCCAACACCAGCCAATTTTCTAAGCTCATCATTGTACTGATCCAGAACGTCTTTGACAGCTTCGCAAAAGACACAGGTGGCCGCCGAGGCACGAATTCGGCTCGTGCGACCCAAGGTCCAACTCGGGTCGCCGTCGATAGGCTGGCCAAACTTGAGGGGGAATCGATCCTCAGTAGGCCTTCCGCCAGCGTTGAGAGAGTCAATTTCCGCGGCAGTAGGATTGCGAAGGTAGCCAAAGTCGATCAGCGAGCAATACTCGCATAGCTTGGTGACCGAAGCCATCTTGTCCGGAATCCTTTTGAGGCGGTAGGAAAAATGACCGAGTTTTTTTCTTGTGCGGAGAAACTTACAAAAGTAATCAGGCTTGAGTCTAAGCAGGCTGTGAGCGATATATGGGTCAGGTAACCAAGTTCCACGAATCGATATCTCATTGGTAATCTGAAGTGGGCACATGAAGGCATTCACTTGGCACGCAGCCTGATTTGTCGCCTGTGTAACATTGGATGCACCAGAAAACCAATCGGAAGCTCAGGAGTATAGTCCTCAAATGCTCCATTGTTTCTCAAAGTATGTAACTGAAGGCGAGAACAAATTAACTACATGAATCCACCCAGATGAGCCCTTCAGCGAGGCACACAAGTACCGTCAACCTCGCGCCTCCCATCCGGTCACCACACCCCCTCTGATCTCTTAAAATTCGTAAGTCGCAAAGATTTAGCCGACGGTGCAGCCACCGAGGCGGACGCTCTCAGCGTACATCTCGTAGGTGTCGGCGTTAGCGGCAGCCCTGGTAGCAGACAGAGCCTGGGCAGCGACGTAGCCGTAGCCGTAATCGCCGGTGCCGTACAAGTGGGTCATCTCGTGGAGGATGCTGCCGGCGCGGTCGTAGTCGTCGCCGGAGCACTGAGAAGCAAGCTCGGGGAAGCCCCAGAAGCCGTTGTTAGGGCAGGGGACGATGACGTTGTCGTCGGGGACAGTGTACAGCAGGGCGGAGCCGTCAGTGCAGTCACTGTAGGTGTCCGTGCAGGAGATCTTGGGGGAGGTGGTCTGGACGCCGGCAACGTCGTTGTAGATGGTCTGGACCTTGGAGACGACGGAGGTGGACTTGAACCAGGTGGTGTAGTAGTAGGAGGAGGTGCCAGCAGCGGTGGAGGCGGCCTTGGCCATGGAGATGGCGTTGCTGACGCTGGTCTTCAGAGCGGAAGTCTGAGAAGCGGAGCAAGAGGAGTAGGTGATGGAGCGCTTCTCGACGCGGGAGCGGGTGGGGCTGTTGCGGCGGGAGATGTGCTGCTTGGCGACAACGGCCTGGTCGGGAGTGACCGCGACCTCGCCGGAGGTGACATCGTCGCAAGAGGCGAGGCTCTTGAAGTCGGCAGGAGCCTCGGCGCCAGTGGCATAGCGGAAGCCCTGGATGGCGGTGATCTTGGCCTCGTCGATGCCCTCGAGCTTGTAGCTCTTGGCGGCGTTGACGGAGACGGTGACAGTCTCGCCAGCATCGATCTTCTGGAAAGCGCTGGCGTCAAGGCCCTGGCGCTTGTAGTTGACGTAGATGCCCTGGAACGGAAGAGCGTTTCCCTCTGCGTCAAGTTAGTTCATGTTCTGGATGTACATCTGCCAATTGTCGGATTGGAGGTGTAAACATACCGGCATCGGTCACAAGGAGATCCTTGGTGGCATGGTCGCTGAAGACCGTGTTGCCCTTGAAGACCTGGAGAGTCTCGGAGCCGGTGTTGGTGACAGCGACGCTGACAACGTGGGCATCAGAGTTGGAGATCTGGACCGAGAGGGGGCAGGTGGCCGAGGCGGCACCAGCCAGGAGGGCGACGGAGAGGGCTTTGGCAACCATGTTGATCGATGGACTGGAGTGTCGAGCGGTGGCTGGAGAGACAAGAAAAGAATACGATGTTGAGCGAACACTTCTTCGCTATATATACTCGATGTTCCCCATTCTTGGCATTCTCAACAGCCGGTCACGAACATGGGCGCAGATAAGGTATAGCGGAGGCATTGCCACGTCAAGGAGGTGAATCCACGTTGAGAATCATCATGGTACAGCTTCTCAGCCGCTGAGAATCGTAAGGCCGATGCAATCTAAGCTTGTTTTGGAAGGAGACGAATCAAGGGTACCCTTATGCAAGACATATGGGCCAAGCATGAGTTTATTCAAGAAAAGCTTCGGAAAGTCCAGCCAGGACGAGGAGGTGCGGACGCACGGTGGGTAGCATGCATGGGACAGCCAACCAAGCAAATCAGTGGGGTGGGTAGCGATGCATCTTGTGATGTCGGCATGTGGGCGGGGAGAAGAGACGGGAGCACGGGAAGAGGAGCAATTGGGTGTTTATGTTGTGGTTCCACGCTTTCCGCTAAGCAAGTTAGGAAGGCTCATTGCGGCGGTTCATCTCAAAAATGGTAGGTGCCATGGGGTAATATCCAGGGGCAGGGAGCCAGGGACCAGCGGTCGAATCATCGGCATGGATTACATATGAGATATACAGAAACAGGCGCAGTATTGGGGTTCTGCGGCGATGTCCGTTATCAGTGCGCTTGATTCAAGGTTATTTTTTCAGTGTTCCCGTCAAAAGCTACGTAAAGTTGATCGCGGTAGCTCCCGGCGCGGAGCCGGGAATAGCGACGAGATGCCGAGGCAACGAACTGCTCGGATATGCCCCGTCTGTGTGGATGTTGTAGCCCGGGTTTGTGTTTTGCCAGTACAACATTGAGTCTTCGTTGGCTTGTTTTCGCAGGCAAAGAATGCATTGAACAGAGCAGTAACTTGCAATTTGGACGAGTGGGTTAAATTTTGAACGTGTCAACAATATGGGCTGCAATTGGCGAGCGGTAAAATGGGATGAACCGCGGCCATCAATGATCCTAGTCAGATGAGGGGACAGGCCAGAAGTGAAAGCACAGCCGGCGTAGGTCCACTTGAGCGATGTTTTTAGCAGTTCGGGAACGGCCGATCATACCAGAAAGGAAACTGAGATGGGATAGAAGCTTGTCCATCATAGCACTGATTGCACTAAGGTAAATAGTGAACATCCCCACCATTTTTCAACTGCTGACCCGCTCTTGTTGCTCCTCCTATCATCATATTTGGAGCCGGCGACTCAGGAAATCCATCTTCACTTGTTCCAAGACTCAAAAGCCACGATGTGTATTGTAAAAAGAAGAGAGACATTCAAACGACGTTCAATTTAGGTCCGCATCCTGCATTGTGGGTTGAAGATGGCAGTCCAGCCAAGGGCGGCCAAGATTCTTGGCTGGCGGGATGTGATCGCCAAGGGTCTTGGCCAGGTGCATCAATCGTCTTGGCCGCATGACCCCCGGCTCGCTGGATCGTTTGCGAGGGGAGGAGCAAGGGAAACAGATTTTTTGAAATGACGAATAGTTGCCAGTGGCTCTCCAATCTCAGCTGTTTTGCCTTAGATCATGCCACGGGCGTTGACACCTTATTATTTATTAACAACATTTTGCGACCGTAGAAATGTTGTTACATGTCTCCATGAAGACTAAGCACAATTTGCGTGGCACAATTGAAGGACGCAGATCAGCAATGTTTACGGATTTTTCACGTCGCTTTCGGTGCAAGCAAATGACAAGACCTTCATCTGTCTTCATCTTGGGCCATTATCCAAAGCGAGAGGGTTCACCAAGTTTGCTGCAAGGCTTATGACATGCATGGCATGTAGTACTTTTGGATAATTCAGTGAGACATGTTCACTAAGTCTGTTAACAATGATTAACGATGGCGTAAAAGGTAGCACCTGCCAAGCAACCAAATGACACCATATGCAACCTCCATGCACCACATGTAGGTTTAGAGAGCCCGGATGTCGATAATATGGATTCATGCATTTCCCTGCGTGTACAAAAACCAACGTCCTTTTTTCCAATAGCATGACCTCTACATGGCGATGCAATGCATTTAGACGCAAGTTAGCTGGTTGCTCTGTTGCTATGATGAGGTTTATCCCTGGGTTCCTTCATGAGGGAATAATTGCTTGTATATTTCATGAAACGCCAGACAACTTTGAAAGCATCTTGTTTCCCAATTATGCTTAGTGTGCGTATTTAAGAACACACTCACGCAAGAATCGGTTTCTGTTATTAAAAAAAATTGAATCCTTCACATCAAGATAGACTGAAACTTGGGCGGCGGTTATCTTCACATGGAATTACCCCTTTTTGTTTTTGGTTTTCTTTTTCAAGCGTTCTTGTACGCTTGCGGATTCGCAAATCACACAAATGGGATAAAGCCACCTCGAAGTTGACGATAATGAAGACGTATTATTCTATTTGCCTATTGACTCTGTTCAAATAACCTCTAGTATTTGTTTGACCATGGCGATTGCCTTCTCTTCCTCTAGGCGTCTAGCAACAAGTTGCAAGCTGATTGGCATTCCATGAACATCGTTCGGGTCGTCTGCAATAGTGGTTAGCGATGATAGATGAGATTCTGTTTTTATTGTACTCACATTCGGCATGTACTGCTTCGCAGACCGGTCCCAACGGCGTGTCTCCTGAGCTGGGTGCGTCCACACTCTTATCCGCAGACAAGCCAGTAGGGAAAGACACGCAAGAATAATCCAGCACGTTGTAGACACCGGTATATCCCACTGCATCATTGTTAGCACCTTTTCCTCACTTATATTCAAAGGGAACAACTCACCATGCTTAAACGTGCCGTTCTTGACACTTGTAAACGGCGTTGTAGGGCACAGGATGGCATCAATACCCGCCGTAACCCACCGATCGAGGTACCTCTTCTGGAACGCCGTCCTCTGCAGGTGAAGCTGCCACATGTCATATGTGCCGAGCTCCTTTGCCTTGGAGTAAGCCGCCATCTCAGGCCTCCACGGCTCTTCCGTCTTGTCCAACTCCTTCTTGATGGAAATACCGCCGTCCGCGACGAACATGCGGTCGAGCAGACTCAGTCCCTCCTTTTGGTCCTTCGGGTCCCACTCAACAATCTCGTGACCTGCCGCCTTGAGCTTCTCGACGGTCTCATGGAGGGCGCGTGCGACGGGAGGAGTCGGCCTGACCATGCCGTCGTTCCACATGACAGCAATCTTAAGCTTGCTGGGGAGTTCGACATCTCTCCACGCGATGGGGACGCAGCGAGGGTCATATTGCCACGTTTGGCGGTTGACGACTGTCTTGCTGTAAAGCTCGAGGTCGGTGATCGTTCGGGTCATCGGGCCGTTGACAGACTGAACTGCTTCTTGGCCGCCCATGCCGGATCGGCAGCCGAGAGTGGGGAAGCGGCCGAATGAGGGGCGGAG